CGAAAACAATATAAATGCTTAATTTTTCATCAACAAATGATCAGACATTCTATTTTAATAATTGAAAGGGATATTAAATTTTTTTCCAAATTGTGCATTTGAAATTTTGTTAGAGATCATGAAGTGCCCACATATATAATAGTACGTTTTTTTCTTCCTTTATTTTTCATATTTCCTTAGCAGTGTTTGTTTTTATTTCGTTCCTTTAGATTTAACTCCTGTTTTAAATTTAAAGCATCTTCCTGATTTTTTTAAAAACTTTTTTCATTTGCTCAAATAAATTTATAGCGTCGTACTTTTTTTTGCAAAAAATATCATTTGGGTACATAAAAGTAACATTTGTTTAATTGTTTTAATTTTTATTTACAATTTTAGTATGATAATAGTTTCAAATCTTTCTAATTGTAGATGTAAAAAAAGTTACTTTTATACTTTGGGAAAGTAAAAACAGTAAATCATCATAAATAAATATCATTCAGATATCGCTTATATTATGACGTTAGTACATATGTGTAATTCATAGCAACATGTACAATTTTAAAGGTATATCTAGATATAAGTAGTGTATTTTAGTGAATATGTTATATAATATTATATTAGTAATAAAGGAAACAGTTGCTGAAATTTATAATCTGAAAAATTCAGTTTCTCAACATAAATATAAAGTATATTGTTTTATTCAAAAATTACCATATAAGTTAATAAAACATGAATTATAATGAGAAATGCCCAAGAAAATCTCGCTACTACTGTTTATGTAGTTCATTGAAATTGTACAAATTATAAAATATAATTAAAATCATGGCCTTTTGAACTCCACATATCAATAAGTAAACCGGAATAAATTTTATGCAATAAGTTTTTTCATTGAAAAAAATAATCAATTTCGTTAAACTTGAATCAGCTAATTTTTAAAAAAGAAAATTAATTTTAAATAAATTAACTTTTCTATAGTTCGATCTTCTCAGGCGACGGAATCTTTTGCCCCTGGAGTAGTCTTTCCGACAACAGGGGGATGAGTAACAACAACATATTTTATTTTTATTTAATATTTTTTTCAATTTTATTGATATGATAGTTCAGCACATTTTGAAATTTAGTTTTAATTTGTATAACTAGCATCTGCAATAGCAAGTGGTGTGTATCTTTGAAATTTTCGCTTCTGATACATCATACTTATCTTCTTTTAAATTATTTTTATGATAAATAACAAGGATATTTTTTCTACATTACAATAATACACTCGGAGAAAATAAATTTTCTTAGAATTATCATATTGCATGGTAATTAAATTTCTGGCAAAAAAAACATGATTCAGGTTAATAAAACCAAAATTTTATAAATAATAAACCAAAAAAGGGAATACAAATGATTCATTTCGCAATTTTTCCAAATATATGGTAATGATTCTCCAGAAACTCTCGTTTTCAAAATTGTAGTTCTTATTACCAACCAGAAAACTAAATAAATGGTTTTTTTACCAAGTTCATCATCCTAAAATTACTATTATCATGAAAATTAAACAAGTATCACTGATAAAAGTACTAACATTTATTACCACACTTTTACTAAGAATAGTACTATTATTAAAATTTACTATCAATACATCAATACAAGTACCACATTTGCAAAAATTTTTATCACTTGTTTAAATCATCATATATATAAAACTATAATTATTAATTTTACCAAAATAATTACTAAAACGTTTCAGTAAAAATGCCGAGCTGTTGACGTCCCATAGAGCCAGAAGCACTGTAAATTTTACCATATGTCTGTTTTGTCCAAATTCTTTTTCGCAGTACAATATTCATTACACATTATTAAATGATAACATAAGATTGCTTTGATATTAAAAAAATTTTCCTTTAGTAAAATTTTTTATATTATTTTTTCTGAAATACAATTAGTTTATAACAAAATTGCATAATTTAAATATAATTTTCATAATAATGTAAAAACTTAAATTTATTTATAAATAAATGTGTAACATTTCAAATGTAAAGCATTTTCGAAAACAAATTGTTTTTTATGTACGTATATTCAATTAAAACCCATTTATATGCAGTCAAGCTGTATACATGATTCTCAAAACTCATTATATGTTGCGATACTTTTCGATGTTTTGACTTTTAACGAGCGATTTCAGTAATTTCAACCTTGTATTTATATTTTGAATAAAATATCAGAAAAAAAGTAGTAACTGAAGTAATGTGACACTTAACCTTCGTATTAAAATAAAATTACTATTCACGAAATATTTCGGCAACCTATTTCAATATAGGGCAAGATCAAATTTAATTATTTTAAAATATATAATTGTGTTTCTTTTTTCTTTTTCCAAGTGTTTGAAAATATTTCCATTAACACAATATAAAGTTGTGTGATACTTTTTATAACGAGCATTGCTTTAATTTTTTTTAAATATTTTAAGAAATTTATAAATTTTTTTATCATAGTAATTTCTTTGTTTAATTTAATTAAATAAATTTATTTAAAAAAAAATAGCTACGAAACGTTTCATATATATTGTAATAAATTATTTAATTATTTTCGAAATATGTTTATTTATTTGCTTAATTAGTAATGGTGCAGTGACATTTTACAGTTGAGATAGAATTACTGAATAAACACGATGTCTGAAATAATTATTTTTTCTAAAATAAAAATTACAAAATAAATTTTTAAAACAAAACTGATCATATTTCTTTTATTCTTATAACTGTGCTCACTTAAAAATTATAAAGGGAATAATTTTTTAACTAAATTGCTTTTACTTTCCTACCATTTTTTTCAATATATTTTTTTAATTAAAAAATTTTTGTTATTGTTACTTCAGATTTTAAAAAAATCCGATTTTTTTTTAAATAATTATTTTATTTTTTTAAAAAAAACAACATAAATGAATTTTTTTTAAATTTTGATAAATTGAAAATAATATTTTATCTATAAAATTTTCAATGAAACGATTTCGGGACCTAATTTATCAGTAAATATGCATTTGCATAATTAAGCATTAAATTAACATTACTTACAGATAGGCTTTTTTTCAAAATTACTGCAACCTAACAAAATTAAAAATTATCTAATGGCATCTCAGCCATACAATATTAGTTTGTGGTAAGTAATTAATATGTAATGTATGATTAGTATGAATGTAATAAGTACATGTATGGTATATAATTATTAGAAATATGATAGTATACAGATAAAATATGATTACGGAAGAGAAACTTTGAAATTAAGTCGTGAAAATAAAAACATTGCAAATATAACTTATACTTAACTTTTTTACGCAGATGGGACAGCGGGCGGCTTCCCTTCTGCATATTTCTTTCTGGTGCTTTAATTACAGGCTATATAATTTATTCATTTATATTTTTATCTTTATAATTTGGTATCTAAATTGTAAAAAACTGTGTAATACTTTCCAAAATAATCGGAATTATATTTGTAGCAAAATTTAAAATCGAACAAAAGTATTTTAATAGTAGGTTTTTTATTCATTCATAGTCAAAAATTTATTATTAACTGATTTTATAAATTAAGGAAATTCCAATGAGGAAAAATTAATTCTCTTAGATCTAAATAAGTGTAAATAAATGTAAATTGGAAAAAAAAATTATTGTTTGTAAATGAAGCTTGGAAGATTTTACCTTTAACGCAGAAAAGAAAGCACAGGTGTCTATAGTTTATAGTTTTCATTAATTTTGATTTAGCACAAAATAATGAAAAATATGCTTAATAAAAATTCTGCGTCAAAGGGTTAAAATCACTTCATGTACCTTAATTGTGATTAAAAAGAAAATATCAATAATAGTTTATGCAATTATAAGCATTAATAATATAAATAAAATGAAATTATCATTCACACTCAAATGTAAGGTTGCTGATCATTACATACATTTTTAAATTCCGTGAAAAAGATTGATACAGCGTTTCCTTAACGATAATTATTTTCGAACGGTATTAGAACCAAAATGATCCTTATTCTTTTATAGTATATCAAATTTGTTCTAGAGAGTAGCCCAGCTTCAAATAGGCTTATTACAGCAGAGGGAATAATATTCTTTATAGTCTTCGAACATTTAGAACAGGTCCTCTAATACTGATATATTTTTCTATTCAATTCTATATAAAACCTTACATTTTGAAAATTTTTTCGCCTTAAATAGAATTCGATTATTATCAAAGTTTTAATGTTAAATTTGAAGTCATCTCAAATATTTAAAACAAGTGGCATAAAAAATTCATTCAATTAAAAAAAATCCGCGAAATGCTTAATTTAAAATTGTAATCATAAACTGATTTTTAAATTTCCATCAAAAATTCTCTCCAATTATTGCGTTTTTTTTCTCCAGAAAATAACGGAAGATAACTCTCTAATATTATTAAACATAATTAAAACCAACAGCAATGTTTGAAACACTAGTAATATAATTATGTCATCAACCTGGCACCCACATTCGAGCTACAATTCAGTACTTACCAATATTATCCTGATATTCATTTTCTGATGGTTCTGACAATACCATCCTGATGTTTATTTTCTGATCCCTTTTTAAGAAACTTTACTTCCGATATTGTAATATCTATATTGATTGTGTTTTTCATACTAATAAAACAAGTATTTATTTTTCATAGTTTTAATATATGTGCTTCAAACGCTGTTTTCAGCTTTATTATGTTACTTTTTAGATCAATTGTCTGGTTAAAATTTAATTTATTTTACAGTGTAAAATGAAACTAATAATATCTGAGAACATTTAGAGCAACGTTAACATTTAATTCTGAAGCTAACATTTTGAAGTACATTAATACAATTACTTATCTTTGCAAGTTAGCATAACTTAAAATATCCACGATTTATCTTTTTTAAATATCTTTTCAGCATTATTTTATCTTTCCTTAAAAAAATAATGAAAAAAATTCTATGTTTTAGTACTTTCCTATTAAATCGTTCAAATTTGCTAAAAAATGTACTCAGAGAAAAAACTTACATCTTAACGCCCACTCTTTCAGCTGACGAACTCCACCAATAATCTTCATAATACTGGATGTACATGGCCCCGATATTTTAGCTTCCGACCCTCCCCTTAAAAGATGCGGAAGGAGTTTCTTTATCACATTTCCAACATCAGCTTTCAAATTTTTTTCAGCCTGTTCGAAAGTCTCTACAGGATCTTCCTCCGCACCATCCGTTACATTTCCCTCACTCGAAACACAACTCACCATCAAACACATCAGTATCACCCACATCCACTTCATCCTCAGACAGGTATCTTTCAAGCTTTTGAGAAAATGATCTCCATTCACAAATGAAACAGAAGAGTTTGAACGAGTTGTTCCTCAAAGCATTGCCTCACCAGAGCCTTGAAATCGAAGCTTCTGAAGGTCAAGAAATTCCTTTTCCTACCTAAGGGAAGATTTCCGCACCTCGATTGGGCCTCTTAACCCGTCCTGTAGGGTTAAAATAGACAGAAACCCAGAATGACTTATTGAAGTTGAAAGTGATTAATTTTAGACGTTTTATTAGTTTATTTTATTACGTGTTTTTACAAGATAATGAATTGCTTATTTTGCGTGTAATTGAGAGGATGAAGGTTATCGTAAATTCAATTTTTTTTTGTACTTAAAGAGTTGAAATTTAAACAGTCTCGTTTATCTTCAATGTATTTAAAATGACTCCTTTCTGTTAAAATTCTTTGTCGTTTTCATTTGTTGTGAAACGAATAATAATAGCTTTCATTTCATTAAAATATATATATATATATATATATCNATATACATACAAACTGTTTAGTCATGTTTTTTAATAGTTTTAATTTCATAAGACAATAAATCGGCAGTAGTTTAAAAATTTTCATCAATGAAAACCACTTTTCGTTAATGAAAATCCTTTTTAACAATTTTTATTACATAACCGCAAGAAATAACCGCAACAAATTACCACGCTTTCCACAAGAAATAATTGAGCACGTTTTTTCTGCTTATTGTAAATAATTAGATGCGTTTTCTTTCTAATATCCATGCATTTCTTTAAATTCCTATTCTTACCGTACATGATTAGAAAAAATCCAGATTCTAATGACAGAAATACTTACAAGTTGGCTCGACTAACATAATTCAAGGTGAAAGAAGAATGTAAAATTAATTTCATATCTTATACCACAATTTTATACTTGAAAGTTTTATTGTCATGTTTATTATCTGTGGTATTTATGGAGAACGCAATTAAAAATAAAGTTCCTGAGAAATCTAATTTTAAAAATTATCCACTTTTAAAATTCGATCGCTCAGAAAACATTTAACCGATTCCTCTCAATTTTTTTTATTTTTTGCCATGTAAATTTACGTATTTTGAAATGATGTAAAAATTGTATTCCTTACAATTCAACTATTATTAAATAAATAATAAAAAATATTAAATATTTACGTAAAGTTATTTTTTTCATGCAATTACTTTTGAATAAATGAATTTTGTAATTGTCAGCAAACATTTTTCAATTTACTTAAAAAGATTTCGAGATATGGTGAAATACGCTAAAAGTAAAATGAACATTAAGGGATTTAAAAGTTGGATATTTCTTCCGACCTAACTATGGGTATCATATTTACCAGATTGCGGCTACCCCCTATGTTTTGGATTGAGGGTAAGAAATCCATTGAAGAAAAAAGGTATGTTTATTCAGAGAAAGTACGTTTTTGTGTCTGTTTTCGTAACTTAAACATCGTCTGCACTAATTAATTATCACATTTAAGGTCACGCCCCCGAACCATAATTGATGAGTCCCGGAACGTGAAGATCGATCCGTTAATTAAATCAAAAGTTATTCAAGTTGGCTCTTTTTTTGCACACTGAATAACATACCTTATTAATGAAGCTTTATTCTCTGTGAAGTAAACATATTAAGAAACATTCCTGTTTAGGAGTCGGTTTGAAAATTCAGGAAAAAAAACATCGTTTCAAAAAGGACACTTAATGTTTATAGTCTTAAGAGGAATGATTAAATAAATATTAAAAAAACATTTAATTGTTAGGTTTTCATATTTTAAGCTTTTTTTTAAATTATCTATTTCGTAATATCTATAATAATAAAATGAAGAGTTTGCAAGCCTGTTTGTGTGTTTCCAAAGCCATTTATATCAGGTTCTTGAAATTTTAAACCGGAGTAACTTTTGAAAACAGACAGTCAAATTTTAGACGATATTATAAATGAAACTTCAGACAACTCATTTTTTTCAAATATTAAAAATTGATTAAATCAGTAATATTTGATAGATTGCACCTTTAAGAAAAATTGGAGTTTATTACACTTTCTTTAATATTTAATTATTTTTTATTCATTATGACGGGTAAACTCAGTGATAGACATGGATGGCAGGTGAGGGTTACGTCACCGAAAACAGCCCATGTCTAAATACATCTCAAACCATATGTTTTATTCTAATCACAGTTCTGTATATCGTTCTATTATTGAGTTTCTATAAATCTAAATAATTTTAATTCAACGATAATTGAAATTACAAAATAAAATATGCACATAAAAGCAACAATAGTGGTGAAAAGAGCTTTTAAAAATCGCCATTTAAAAATATGCCAGTGATGCTTCATTAAATTTAGTTATACGTACTACTGGTTTCGTGATAATATGTTCTTTTTTAATAGCTACAAAAAAACAGATTTTTAAAATAGGAATGTTCTTTATCATGGATACTTTATTTTAGTTTTATAACATTAGCTAAATGGCCGACCCAATTTTTAGTTTTACGACTACTAATGTTTAAAGCCGGAGCCTTTTAGTTTTGAACCCATTCCAGAAGACAAGGAAACTCTTGGATCAAGTATTGGGAGAAATTTGTCTTCTTGGAGGACTTTTTGAGGGAACTAACTGGCATTTGCGTTAAATGGAGAGGAAAACAACTGAAATCTCCCATGGTTTGCCTAGAGACAAAGGTACTGTAACCCATGATTCATCTACCACTGAGGATATTTTTACGTCAGAACTGTGATCGGTGCAAGCCGGATGCGGAATAATATAGATAATGTAATAAGTTTTTACTGCCTCCGATGGGAATAAGTACCTGAGAAAATGGGTCGATTGTGATCGAGTTTGAGTAATATTAGTGACCTTAAACAATAGCATCATTGCGAGGGCTACTGAATACAGTTAATCTTCATTTAGATGCGATGTATTTCTATAATTTACTTTGTTTAGTAAAAACATGCTGTATGATAGTAAAATGAAGAGATTCTCTTCATTTTATTATCATAGTGCAGAGCTTAATGGGTCAGTCTGTGTGTCTTTCTTGTAACTTAAGTTTGTTCTCTAATTGTCTCTCATGTAACTGAAGTAGTCTAGTCTTGTTCATGATAGTGACACGAAACTTGGACAATGAGCGATAGTAGTAATTTTAGCTCCCGATCTTAAAATTAGATCAAAAATTTAAATTTTCTAAATGGCTTAAAACCAGCCCTTTATAAGTATATTAAACTGCTGATGATTCCGTTTTTTATTATATTTCAAATATGACAGCAGTGATGTTTTCTGGATGATAACTTTTATTAAAAAAAAGGAGTTTATTGCACATTCTTTAACATTTAATTGTTTCTAAATCTTTATTTTTATTCGTATTTCTTAATTTACTCTATGTTTAACATGGACGCGGCAATATAAATTAATTACTTCAATAAACTAGTACTTTTAAGGCTATGTGTAACCACGTTTTCATTTTATTTAAAGTAAGGCTTTAAAACGTTGTTTCTATAAAACAACTATGTGGGAAATGAAAAGAAGTTTCGTTCTAAATTCAAAGATTTATGAAAAATTAATGTTAAGTTAAGGAGATTAACAAAAAATCTCAGCTTAAATCTTGACTCCACTGAGGCTTTTTTAATTGAGCAAACTACAAAGGCATTTCAATGGAGAAATGGTTTTAATTCGTTTTAAAGGAGAGCAAACAATTACCTTGCTATTAATAGCGCAATGATGTTTAATTAATTTTGATAATAAGTACTTATTAAAGCAAAAAATAATCTAAGTACTATCAAGCAAAATTGAAAGGACAAATACTACTAATTCGCTTAGAGGTAACGCCGATGCTGCTGAATTAATTGTGGTAATATGTCCTACTGGAATTATGGTAATTGGTGCTGTTTTAATAGGCACCAATTATACTAATACAGATACAATGTACTTTGTATGTACATTTTGTACTTTTTAAAATTGCATGAATTGCATGAGCAATTTTTAATATAGATACAATGGAAAGAGAATTGTACGACCCTTCGAAAAAGGTAAGTACCGGAAAAATTTATTAATTGTAGTAAATTTTGAGTCATGAGTATCATGATTTAGCAGAAAGCAAACAGCTTCATGCCAAATGATACTGAAAACAGTTAATCTTATTCTGATGACATGAATTGCTAAAAAGTGTTTTACTTTATCTGAAAATTTAAAGTTACTGGAAAAGGCAAATCTTAATAATAAACGAAAAATACTGAAATTATTATAAATTTATTAATTGTTTAGTGCATGATTTCGTATTGTTGTTCAATACTGATTTATTCATTATTTTCGTTTCTTTTACTTCTTTTGGGTATTCAACTAGTAATAAATAAAAGCAATTTTGAATTATGCTATCTTTATTATTTGTTTTGGTGTATGCTGCTCAGTTATATGTAGGATTAAAAAGTGAAGTTTCTAAAGTAGTGAAGGATCTGAAAAATAGCTTTACCAAGCAAGTATTATTTACGTATTATTGTTTTTATAAAAACACTACTTTATTAGAAATTTTTATGGTTAACTAAAATAAGCTATACTATTCCACTTAGGGTAAGCAAAAAACTTATTACTACAGATCTTCTATTAGGTAACTGTGTTAGACGCCTACATTTAGCATGCAAGTTACTTGTAACTGCTGTGCCTATAACTGAAATACCTGTAGTATCTAGTACTACAGTTAATTAAGCGTCACTGGCGACAGTAATTTGGTCAACTTTTGGACCCTTCTTCCCCAAACTGGGATTTTATCTAATGGACTTTAACTAGTTAACTATATTTTAAACTTCTTAAAGGCAAGATTTAATGGATTTTTGCTATTACAAAAATTATCTGATCCAGGAGTTGAGATTTAATTAGCACTCAAAGATATAATTTCTGTACGTTTAAGATAACTAGCCGCCTTCAGCGACCAGCTTCTTGTTCTTAGAAATCTAATTTTATATAGACCTCATGATGTCTTTCATTTAAATAGTAATAATATAAAGTAAGAGTACTAAAGTACGTATGTTTAAAAAACATTTAGTAAATATTTATGATGATTAAAATTAAATAAAAAAATTTGAGAAATTTAAACGTTTGTCATTTAAATGAATTCAAATAATTTTTGGCAGCTATAGTTAAAAGAAAAAAAAATATTTTTTGCACACTTTTGA